GCGGCATTAAACCGGACGACAGCAGAGCAGAGCTTAGTGGCGGTGGTGAGGCTTGAACCTCGGACACTAGGGTCCAAAGCACGCCGATGACAGCGACTAAACCACCGCACCACCACTACCACTACCAGCTTTTCAACAACCCTTCGCGAGATTAGAGCGCGCTATGTCCGACAACCGTGTCAGGGTGAGTCAAACAGGTATCTGTTAATTATGTGTAATACTTACCTCTTGGACAGGCGCCAAATTTGAAAGTGAGCGGAGCAGATCTTCATCCTTCATACTTGCCAGTACAGAGGGAAGATCAGAAAACCACAAACCAGTACTTGGAGGACTGGGGATGTAGGCCAAAAACAGCGGGCGTCCACCAAGCCGGAGGGGATCGCGCAGATGTGCGTTCATTGCGCGCATTGGACCGCGCATCTCGGCAAATTGAATCAGAGCAGCATTAGAACTGGTCTGGAGTTTGACATCCTAGAAGTGGGGGATAAAACAGAAAAAAGAAACGAAAGGGATCGAATGCGCTTTCGCCGGGATGATCACTGAGGTCTTGAGACCACCAATAACATGAAGTTCTCAAGAAACAGATGTGATATTTAGTGGATCGATAAGAAAGCAGCTACTACGTTGTAGGCATCAGGGACGACGACAACAACAGTTCCACCCAGTTCAGTTTGCACAACCATTATTCATGCACGATCATCCGCCGGTTTTGGTTGCCCATTTGGATGGACAACATAAACCAATTGAGCAAAATTGTAACGCACTATTATGAAAACTTTCGCGAAAATTCAAGGACTGTTTGACAGCACAACATGAAACGCTACCAGTGCAATATATCACGCACATTCGTTCAGCTCCTAACAATGCCATCTACATCACGAGATTGACGCGATAGAAACAAGAGAATCGAATTATGGTTTATAATATAATAAAAATGCACAGATACTAACTCATGGGATTCATTAACCATGGATCGAGGATATTCGGTCCGTATTGGAACACCACAAACACTAGAAAACTGCTCAAGTCAATGGTAAAGTTCATCGGGTTTGATAACGAAAGTAACGGAGTCATCGTTAGTTTGAATCAAGTTTGAGACTACCTGGAGAGAATCGTAGGCCTTTCACAACACGTTACGCCATCCAAATTCCTTTAGGAGTATTTTATTTCGTCACTGCGTTCCACGCAAGAAAATGTGGTGGTGCAATTCTTCATGTTGCTCTGAGATTCTCCAACACACGCGCACGCGGTGGTCGTAATAACATGTCAACAAGGTTTCTAAATGAAAAATTGAATTCCATATTGAGGAGCAAGCGGGGCATCACTCACATCGTACTTAATTTAGACGGTGTTTCCATTGACGGATAAGAACTCATGTTCCTTGATGTCTTCCGTTTTATCTGAGTAGCCCATACCGAACAATCGATAAATACTCTACCAGGAGAAATTCATGGAACCATAGTGTTTCTGACAATGGTTTTGAATAGTAAAGCTAGGTATTGGACTTGTAAACCCCGTGTAAAATGATATCTACTGTCAAACACGATTGTGTTACAAGAGTTTGACTACAACGGACTGGTAATGGTATTTAAAATGTGGAGCTTGAGTGAACACACGCAGTTAGTCGACTTTTGTTGCGTACGAACAATGAGTGCCAACGAAACATTACTAGTCAAGGAATGGAGAAAATTCCTTGCACGTCACACAGACACAAAGCCACACTCTCCTGTCTTGATTGTGATCGAGTAAAGAGTTGTTCAGAGAACAGGTTATTTCACAGAACAAAACTACGAAGATGAGGGAGGTGATAGGGGATAGATGAAACACTGGTCTGATAGGGCACACGTCTGACTAACATTGCTGCCTGAACCACATCGGGCTACACATTCGGTAACATGAACTGGTTTAGGTTGAAATGAATGACAAACAATGCAATCGATCGATCGACCGACCGCTCCTATAAGTTTATCACGGAATTGTGGGTGTATAAGCGATAGAGTTTACAAATAAACAGCCCGGTGGAGCCAAGAGACCACATGGGCCAGATCGATCGTGTGATCGATCGGTCTCAGTGTGTGCCTGAGAATCAATGATGAAGGGTGCAACAAAGACCAGGCGAACTGTTTATAGCATGCAACAACACGCATCTGCGCATAAATAAGTGCGTGCATGTGTGTTTGTGTGTATTAACAGAAAATGTTATGAACGCAGTCAACGACTTGTGTAAGGCGCGCATGGAAAACGAGGTACACACAAACGAATGCGTGTGTGCCGCCCGAGAGCGCATAATCACGGTGCTGTGGAATGATTTATGTCGTCTGTTGCGACGACCTGACCAGACATGTGATGCCTGGGAGCACAAACAGACACACAGAGATCAGGTAACAATCGGGACAAAGGAAGTAGAGCATATGCGAAGCTAAGCCGTGTGTGTGTGTGGAACGAGGCGATGCGAAACGAACAACTGCCAAATCGATCAGACTGAATGCAAATATACACCGTAATCGAAGAAGAACTGTGCAAACCAGTTCGGCGTGCTTGTGTCGATCGCAATTGCAATCGAATTGACATTCAACACGAACTGTATTGTGATCAAAGGTTGTCGAGCAGACAAATTCACTGGAACAGCAGTGTGAAGCTGATCAACTTGTAAAATCAGGTCAGTGGCACTGATCCTCCGATATGTGTAAACGTGTACTTGGGAATCGATGAGCAGTCATCTCAACACGAACTTGATGCGTACGGCAGTGAAAACATTTCATTCACGTAAAAGCCCACGGGAAGCGGTTATGAATGACAGAAATCAGTTGAGAAAACACTTAAGGTCAAGTGAACCAATCGATTACGGTGGGGTTACTCGGGAAGACTAGACAACCTGTACTTGAGTCGCTCCAATCAAATGCTTACGCGATTCTCGAACTCGTGAGTAAGACACGTTTGCACGGTTGCAATTACCCTATTCTACTCATTTTCAGTTTGAATCTCATTACTCCGTTTACACAGCGGCATACTGCCGTCTCACGTTTCTTTTCTTTTCCCTTACAGTCTAGTGTTGGGGCATCAGTGGGTAAATGCGAATCACCGTCAGTGGCACTAGCTTGTGCCATGGCCATTGACGACGTCTCGCGTTCCCATTCCTATTGAGGATTTCGGGCGAGTGGCATATCGAGAAATTGTACGTTGTGCAGTAGACACCCCCAGGGATGGACCAGATCGAGATGGTGCCACACGGACTTAGGTGGTGATTCCCTATCCACTGTAGTCTTATGATTCTAAGCTGTTAATATGCTATGAATAGATCAATCATCTGTCAGCTCACGTATGCCCAACCATTCATTCATCCACACCCACGCAGACCGGGGTTGCAAACCGCTGATCGGGTCACTTCAAATGAAGTGATCAATAGAGGGTAAACAGTTGGACAATGCGACAATGCCATGGCAACCAGTATGACAAAATTGAGCGCTACCGCTGTGTACTGCTTGCATGTGTGTGTGGATGAATGAGGGCACCCGGTCAAACACGCGCGCACGTATAAAACTAAATGAGCTGCAACTAACTTCACGTGCTGTGGTCGTGTGAATTGTACAAAACTATGTCATACCAACAGACGATGAACAGACGAAGCAAGGTTGTGGCGATAACCAGCTAAATACGTCAGGTACCGGGTTACATTTTTCTCCACTTTTCCCCTTGAAAAGAGCATAGAAATCACTTCGACTCGTCGTCGTTGTTCATGTGTGTTTTTGTGTCCGGGTAATGGGGAGGGAATAAACTACAGAGTTGCAATAGCCCACGTTTAGCCACAAAACAATAACAACAACAAAAGCAGGGGCTCACAGATGATAAATCGCACGAGGGCCTCAAAGGAACAAACGAGGAACAAACTACGCAGTATTCATGCCATTAGTTTTGATTTATATTTATATCCTGCGGCCTCTCGATTGTCGGGAAATTGATAAAGCTCAACTGCCCATAGCAAAATAAAGTTGGAATGATACTAATAGACCCTGGTGGGGAACTGATTATGCTTGAGGCAACACAATCAGACTTCTTTTCGTCACTAGGGGAAACAGCACAGTAATAATCGGGGAGCATTAGCGACAAAAAAGAGAACTGGACTGCAAAAGCCTATGAAACCTGATCGATCAACGCCACACGATTAAGTCAAGAATTATTCACTAGAAGAAGCCATTTAAAAACCATCTGGGACATATGAACTCCACACAATTCCTCGAAAGTTGGAGTACGCAGACCACGGTGTTACCATTGAAAGTTACTATCGAGAACACTCTGGCTCAGTCGCTAGAAGAGCTTGGTAATAAAATTGCAAACGCTTCAATAATGATCTGGCAACTAAAATCTCGGTCTATCGTAAAATCACACTGTTGCTTAAAAAAATAAGCGGAAATTTAGTTTTGGAATGCAGTAGGAGCCAAAGTGAAAGTTCTATGAGTCAAAGTAGGAGCTACTTTTCCCCCCGTGTCGTCCGTCACTGTGAAACACGGCAGATCCTCCAGCCTGATCACTTGAGTGAAAATGGTGGAAGAGTAGTGGTAAGGTAAAACGGACGAATTACACATGCGACGTTTTCCATTTCGGGAAAGGTGAATGGTATTCGGCATGTGATTTGTGGGTAAGCGCACTTCGATTGACGAATGATACAAAGAAACTAGCTAAATTCGAGAGGACGACGCCCCTAGCTCTTAATCTGAATGGGATTGCATGTGGAAACAATCGTCACAGAAGACGTATAGCCCTACACTTACCCTCTCTATGTTAACTGTCCATCAACAATCACAATTAAGTCACGAAGGGAGCAAAATAAAATACAATGAGAATAACTTACGATTATATCACCGAATTTCCGGAACGCGGTATTCAATTGTTCGGAAGTCACCGGCCCTGTGGGACCAGCGGTCAAACCCCCAATGTAAAGTGTCCGAGTGGGACACTTGCTCACCGGCGAAGTAAGATTTGCCGTGAGAGTTGCGTTTGCAGCGGCCTTTGCTGCGCATGAAGCGGACTCATTAGGAGCCAGGACAGCCGCCGTTGAGGATTTAACGGGATAGTCATCTGGACCTAGAGTGGATTGATAAGAAAGAAAATTAACTCAGAATACAAATTTTTCGAAAACAATGAAACAAAAAGAATTCATTCACTTGACGTACGTCCTTATGATGGAGCTTATGGTTGCTTACGTCTGGCAGTGCACTAAGACGGTTTTTATCTCGTGAATGTTTTATCTTTAGCTTCAGGTTGAAAATCGTCCGTTACACTGAGCACAAGCTGCCTTTGCCGAGCATTATGCATCACGCGGTATGTAAGAAACAAACATTCAAGTGAATATCATGTGTATAACTATGATGGGACATGCAAAACCTTATGACGCGGTGGGGATCGACGAAGTGCCTCCCCCAGCCTCGGATACGGCTCAATCCATGTCCACCTTTGGTACTCTCTTACGCATTTCGAGTTCACAGCGATCAATGAAGTTCACTTTACTGTATTCCGCTGTACGATGAAGCAGCAATTAAAAAACGAACACAGTAATGTGTAGAAAGTTGAAACATTAATTTCCCGAGATAAGAGAGAGCACAACAAAGCTAGATTGCACGATTTATGCCAAAGCGTATTCGTGCGCAACCTGATGTACTGTTCAACGATATAAATTGTAGTTTTTTGCCGTGTTGTACCAGTTGAGATATAGCGAAATCTGCCTTGGCATAAAGAGCAGTGTGTAACTGAAGCAGATTACGATCAAGTCGGTCTCGAAGTGCTGAGGGTTCAGATTGGCATAACCATTTCTAGATGGAATACAACGGAAACATACGAGATCCGTCAGGACGAATCGACCCCGATGAAAGCTTGGTCAGTTTTCTCATTTCCACCTCCGAAGTTCACCAGAAGTAGTCCAAGGCTAATACGCAACAAACAAAAGCCGTACACTACTACCGATATTCGTTCGCACAGTTATGACCGTATTTATTCTGCAAACCAGGGCATTAACTACCAGCATATTCGTCCCCAATATAGTTGCAATTATCGATTAGCACCACTATTCAAGCCAAATCCAAGAAGAGGCAAAAACAGCAAAAATGCAATAAGTGAATAGAGAAGAATAACATCAACGGTAGCCGCAGTATATCACATCTTTGCATCATGAATATGATTTTTACTAACTAGATAATTACAATTCATTCGAATGATATTGACTTAATGAATGGATAACTTTCGTATTCAATTCTAAACAAAACGAAACTAGAACATTCACGTCATGCTAGATTGATGGTTATACGTTCCGTTAATGTAAGACTATTGATGTGGCGATCGGTGCTGTACAAGAAAAAATCGATGGTTGTACACAGTATACGACAGTAGTAATTGTTGCACTTGGTGCATGTGCACGTGCACGGGTGTGACAGAAGGGTTGTGCGTGCAAGGGGATTGCGGTAGATCATAGCCTCCACCACCATACAGCCTCATTGATCGACTGTCGTATATGAACCTAATGGATCGATGAAAGACCCGTGACCATCGCCGGCGTTTGCGCCATCCATTATCGATGATAAATTGTTGGTAAAAATGGATCCTTATGACGATAGTTCGCATTTAAAGTTACGAAATTCTACATAGGCCCAAAGTGAAAAATGGTCAAACGACAAAATGAAGAAAATCCATGTTCCCGGAAGTGACTTGTTATGAATCGATAAATCTCATAGTGACAAATGAACATTTTAATTATGGTATTAGCAGTGGACATTTCTACCTACCTCAATGTCCAATGATCAATACCTATTACATAAGAAACAAGCAAATAAAGGTGCTATTGCGCAATTATGAAGTGGAGGAATGAATTTGCTTTAGCTGTTGTAATTTACGCAAACACAAAGCGGGAACAGTGTTCGTGATTCTAAGAGGATCAATATCAGAATTACTCACTTTCAAACCCAGGGTGTAATTCGGCGCAAACGGGAGCGGAAAACAGTAATTTTTCGCCGCTTTGTAGAGCTTGAAAAGCACACTCCGCCTCTTCTGGTAGACGAAATGTGACTATGGCTACGCGACCAGAATTATTTGTCTCTTCCGTGGTCGATGGTAGAAAGACTGATTGAATATGTCCACAGTGTCGTAATTCGGTAAACAAGCTCTGCCGGAGTTGGGTGTCTTTCAGTTTGCTCAGTGGTGGCAAATTACTCAACTTGAGTCCACGGGATGGGCCCGAGGTGCGAGGATAGTTGGTCGAATTTTGGACACTACGCAGAACCTGGGTGTTGGCATTCTCTGTTACGCTCGTTACAAGACGACCGTTGGAGCGCTTTGAGACAAGCACGTTCCGCATGACATGGTCATTTTGACCCAAGGTGGAAATGTGATCATGCGCACTCTTCGTGGAAATTTCTTGGGCCATTTGTTCTTTACTACAAAGAAGGAACGAGAATGGTATCGGTGTGAAGTGTGGATGTTTCCCCACAGTTTGGATAGAGAAACGTGATAAGGCCAATATAACAAACGAATTTGAAAGGGAAGATTTGGTCCTTCCAGTTTAACAGGAAATTACACTTGTCTGAGTCGATAGTATGCCGGAAAAAAATATTCATAAGAATTTGGTTCCTGATTAGTTTGACGGCAACTCTTAGGTAGGCTAGCGCGGGAGTCAAATAAAAAATATCGGCAATGAAATCAACTAAGACAACTTTTTCCAAATACTTCTTCATAGAACGGCTGGATTGTCACAAATAACGTGAAAAACAATGTGCGTTAACTATTAGGCTTTTGTGTATCCAAGTATTAGAAAAATTAAAACATAACCAGGACACGTTTATTCGGCTACCGATGCTCGGGGTAGTCGGCGGCTCCGTGGGATACAAATCCTAGCTCTAATCCTGCACAGATTTTTTATTGCATAAAGTGATCTACGGCAAGAGGTAAACCCCGTAGTCAATAGATGATTTGATAAGAAACATGGGTCAGCAGTTATATTTTTATTAGATCAACTAATAATGTATATAATAAAATATAATTATACCACCGACGAACAATGAAAATCATAAGTTTAGAACATCGCTATCAAATGCTTCTGCACTTGGACTTCCCTAATCTTTGAGAGCACAGGAATGTCGAAGAATGATCTGTGAGGACCGGTTTTTTTGCTTGGTGTGATGAACTAAACAGCAGGTTCTCGTGACTATGGAGCTTTCCCCGTCTGTTGTTCATCACATGAAAGTGATAAAAAAGAGATAATACCGTAATCAGGAGAACCCACGGTTCATGGGAATAGACAATCTGAGCCCCAGTGTGGACACTGAGTTGGGTGACAATAACTAGAGACGACCGTCCGAACCTAAGCTACAGCAAACAACTGCTGAAAATATAAAACCGTTTCAAACTATTGCCTTTGGAATTGAGGGCAGGATACCCGTGTAAGCCCCATCACTACTGGATCGAAGGAAAGTTGAACTACGCAAAGAAACGCGACAGTTCCTCAAAAACGTTTCATGAAAACAGGATGGGTTACAACCTTAGAACAACCAATTTCTGGTCACAACTGTTAACCAACAACATACCATTCCCAACTAGAAACCATCAAGCATAAATGAGAGCAGGTTATTAAGTGAAACTGGACTGCATATAAGGTACGAAACAGAGCAAAAAATCAACTGCAAGCAATATTGAACTTGTCCTATCCCGACAAGAACCATTTGCATTTCATGAATTAAATCGAAAGGCTAGTTAAGGATATTCTAACCGAAACTATAAACCAATAACCGTGAGAAAATTTTAGTCATCGGTGGCACTATGGATGATTTTTACGACAAATAAATTAGGTATCCTAACGATTATTACACTTCTCCCAAGAGTGGAATTGGGGTTAAAAAGATGAACACAAAGATTCGGCTCAATCAATTCTGAAACCCATTGGAATGAGAGAAACTATAACAGGGTCAAGATTTTATGAGGGAACCCGTTAAACCACTGACAGAAAGCGGATTCAAATTCAAACGATCTTTAGGTGGATAAAAATACCAACATTTGATTTGAAACGAAGACGATCTGGGAACAGAAGTACAAAAGATCTGTCTAGCCCAAGACCATTTACGGGGAACTACAAAAATCAATACTAACTGCACAAACTGGTGGAATATAACAAATCTAATGGAAAACATCACTGCTCTTTAGTCTCACGGATGGGTGAAAAAATAGTGATAGAGTAATGGGCTAACAATCGAATTCAATGTAAGCGATGAGGATCTTACAGTATCATCATATTAACCAAATAGCCTTGAATGATGAACCATTAATTATGAAATGCATTGAAACAATCTACGACAATGAGATATGCACAAACAACAGCAACATGACCAACAACAGTACGACTAGGAAGTAAATGAGGCGATTAATGAAACTACACCAGGCTGAAATGTCCCCAGATGATCCTTAATTTGTTGTTCTTCTGAATACCAAATGCAATAGGCTGTGATAAAGAAGGAAGTTCAAGAGCTTCGATTGTTAAGGTAACCACTCCGAGTCAGAGAGTGAACACTCAATAACCCTCTACCAATTTGAGTAAGTCATCAACGCATAAATATTGACACGAATGTGGCATGTAACCCGAAATGCTCCCTGGCTGTGAAATAGCCAAAGAAACACAATTCAGAACTGGGACAAACCTTCCTTGAGATTATCGTGACAAAAACAACTAGCTCCAGAGATAAAAATTCAGCCTACGTAAAACGAAAATGGGAAGTTGATAAATTGTATGTCCGCTCTTATTACATTTAATTCAGTTGATCATGAAAACTATGAACTTCACGAACATTATCTCTCTTTGTGGTGTTCAAATTCACCAACTTGATTATTTCAAGCATATACCTAGATGGAAAATCATTATTGCATAATAAGGACACTCATTTCATTCGTGTCAGGACAACCCATTCGATGCAATGAGATACTGCTCAGCACGAGTTTGAAATGCAACAAGAGCTGTACGATAGGATAATAGCGCCACAATTAAAACAATGACACGTTTAGGAGCAAATTCACTGCTTGCAGAAGTCACAATGATTTGAAAGAATCAGCGACGGAAATTCGAGAAAGAGCCGATGACAGTTTCCAATTGGGTAACGGTCAACAACGCCAAAGGACCAGTGTGATCTTGGAGCAATGTAGCTATCGGAATGATTACCATGCGATTGAGTTTTTCAACCATAATTTTGTCAGATAAGCCTGTGGCGTGACTAGGAGAGAAAGTTGGTCTACTGTTCAGATTTAGCAACCGTAAAACCCGAGCACTGTATTAGTGAAAATCAACAACGGACAGAGTTGCCGCAAGCATGGACGCGGGCACTACAGAGATCTTTTTATTACACATCTTAGTGTTATGAACAGCAGACGGGGTAAACCCTGTAGTCACGAGGATCTGCTGTTCAGTGGTTAACGCCGGGGATACAAATCGCATGGATGAGCAGCGGTAAAAAACAACCTCCGCAGTTGAGAGAAAAGATCTTTACAAGGGAATAAAATATCCTCGGTACCTAGGAGCCTCAACATCACACCTGAGGTTAAACAGCAGTTTACGGTGAGTTTCAAGGGAACCAGCAACCCAAACATTGGATACCATATCACGAGCAGCAGTACATATCTGAAGTGGAGCCTAGTTGACGCCACTTTCTGAAAGCGGTATCAGATGACTGGTCAACTGAAACATATCGAGCTAATGCACAATCGGTCTTCAGTGAAAAATGTGTACTGCAATATGAGAATTGAGAAAGACAGCTCGCTTATGTCAAGTTGCTTGAGAAAAGACCTATTACACGAAACGGGAAAAAAGGTTTTCTTTTCGGGAAACCCATAATCCGTGAAGTATCAAGCTTAATCATTTTTACGAAGCAATCAAATTACTGGGGTGTTAAAAGTAACGAGGACATTATTTCGAACCTATGGAGATGAAAATAGCAACTGGCATAGACGAACCTACAGAGAAATTCCAAATAAAAATAATCGAATAGGAAAAGATATAGGCAGCGCCCAATCATGTGAACCTTAGCAGATGAATTATCAAAATAGACCCTTGAAATCAATAAATTCCTATTCAACGACCGAAAAAAGGGATGCCATTGCGGCCACTTACTCCAAGGAAACAAAATGCGGTGGACAGCACGATGCATCAGATCTTTTGTTTAAATTAATTCCAGATGTGTCAAAAGAATCACAGTATTCCATTTTTAACAATACGTCGTTAATTTTGACGTCGGCGTTAATCGCTTGTGTGGCACTTTTCGTATCCCCGAACGCCACAATTGCGTAACGAGATGACCCGTGTTTGAAGATCCGAACTTTCTGAATCTCGCCAAACCTATTGTGACAGAAAACCGCGCATTAAAAAACATTGCCCGTACCTTTGCAGGGCCCCGCGAATTTCATGTTCCCGGCACTTTGTAGGTAACTCACGAATCCACAAAAATCTGGTCTTTTTCATGTCGATGTGAGCCCATGCATCAGAGATGCATGCATACTAAACAATATTGTGTGGGAAATCCGTAATTTGTGAGAAAATCGTACGCAACAGACAAGTTTGCAGCCGTTTAGTTCGGAAAAGAGCCGTAAGTAAGCGCACGGTGGACAGTGTCAGCCACGAACGGGTCCTCGATCGATCGGCCGGTGTGATTGGTCAGAGGAGTAGCATCATCGTTAATTCTCAAGGTCATGCAACCGAGCCAAGGTCATTGGTGGCGTGGACTGCGTAGCCAGCAAAGTAGACTGACAACAACGCGAGCGGGCGCGCACGCGCGCGCGCATGCACGGACGCACGCACAAGAGCGCGCGAGCGTGTGTATAGTGGCTAGACAGGCAGGCAGGCAATCACGAAGGCCCCGACAAACAGGTCGATGCGAGAGGCGATCGATAAGACCTAACGGCGAGACAGAAACCGAAGTGGGGTTGGAAACCGAATTCAGTGGTCAGTGTGACAGAATAACATTGAGGGAGATTAAAACTTATGACTCAGGCGTGATCTGAAGTAAAACAAATTCAGCAAATGACGGCACGAGGTAAGGAACAATGGGCACGACGCATAGGATAGAGTAGTAGCATTCGGGATATTTCATCTCGGTAGGTTGTTAGGGTCAAAGCGGTCCAGTACATATTAAATAAACTGTTGAGTTCATTGCACAAGAGATTATCATGAAGAATGTTTCAGAGGTTACTACGTTAGAATCAGTTAACATTACTTAGGCTGTGAGGATTTTGTAGATAATAAAGCGAATGGGAAATGCGACTATAACGAAACGTTTGAATCCTCAGAACTACGGGACCAATTATTGAATGGGGCTCACACGAAAGGAAACCACTACTCAGTTAAACACTGCGAGAGTAAGTCGTTCACAATCAACCAGATATTAACTCGATTTTAGAGCGAGAATGCGAACCATGGAGTCCAGGCATTGGACACCAAAACTGGGAATAGATAGGACAACAATTCACACTAAGACTTGTGCTGAGGTAAACTGGAAAGCCCATCAGTGTGGTTTTATCAAGAAGAACGACAAAAGATGCAATCGAATCGGATTCATATAAGTGTGGTGTTGGTGTAACAGTTCCAAACACAAAGGATATGAAAGATCAATGGATTTTTCCAGCTTGTATGCAAATTATTTTATGAAAAGAAACGAAAGCATCGTACTCCTATTCCATTTTTCGTCGGGATAAAGCGTACATACACAGAAACTTTTTCCTCCACCGCATCAAAAACAGCATACTACGAAACAAACATAACATTGGGAAAATCCGCTTTTTAAGGATGTCACGTTCATTAGACATATAGCATGTGCGGATACTAAACCATAAAGTTGGTCGGAGGTCTCCCTGATCGTAGAGGTGGATAAAGCCCCCGACAGTCTGATTTCGAAAGATTACTCTTAAGAGAAGAAGGATGTGGAAAGATCGTTGGTAGGTGTAGGGTCTACATTGCCGCGGTTCGTAGAGTTCTGCTTTACGGAAGCGATACCTAGCCCTTCCGCGTAGAGGATGCTAATCGACTTTCTGTATTCGACCACCGATGTCTCTGAAGCATTGCTTCTGTCTGGTGGGAACATTGAGTGAGCAATGACAAGGTTCGTCGTCGTGGGTATGGATAGTCGCTCTCTAATAGAAGTAATCGCTCTACATCGCTTCCGATGGTTTGATCACATAATGCGTGAACCTGACCATCGGTTACCCTTGCACGTGCCAGGCAAGGTTGGAAGAAGCGCCGCGGCGAGCAGACCATGACATGGCGTAGAGGTAAGAAGAAGCTGGCTTCGGTTGGTGCAGCCCACTTTCCAGTTTGGGGCCCAAGGGATGAGGATTATAGTTGGTTAGAGACGCCTGTTGAAATCCCGTCCCCCATAAAAAACGATAAACACACAAGAAATATCAAAAATTGTACGGTAAAACAAACAAACAAATGTTACTCTAGCCATATGCATATTCTCATATGGATTGGCTTCTGCAGTGCGTACACTGCTTTCCGAGATCGACAGTGAAGAATAATGAAAATTATGTCTACTCATTAGAACCAGATTGTAATCCGGAATGAAGAAAGTTGGCAGCAAAAGTGTTACGCACTGAGATACTCTCCCATTCAGGGTGTTTTACTGCGCATTTAATCGATTTCTCAGATATGCCTTTCTGTAACCTTCCATTGAGTTTACTGAAAGACAAAAAACGAGGCATAGCCCACGAATACCGGATCAGTGATTGGGTTGTAATATTGCTCATCGAAGAATAAAGTATCATGAATCGAGGTACTCGGCTATCTGACGCAAAATCCCACAGGTTCAATGTGTGGGTTGAATTTAGCAGGATCCAGAATATGCCTGCTAACATACGAGAACAAGGTTCAGAGGGGAACGGTTAACTTTGATGATTTATTTACGAGCATGAACAATTGGGTTTTTTTAGCTACAGGATTAATTTTCTGTCCCATCAAGCCACGAGGAATGCTGATATGAGAGCAGAATGTGTTGGGCACCATTACTACCTACCTATTAAACCAATACAACTAACAATTATTATTTAATCGCGATGTACCGTACAAAACGAAAGATAAAAACACGAGGCTTGGTCAGGAGAAGCAAACAGGACACATTGCGAGATCTGTTTACCTCGTTTGGCGAGTTCAAAATATGAAACATCCCAATAATTACTGTTGTTGTTAGAAAGGGCTTGCGAATCGATTTCGAGTTTAGTTTAATAACTTGAACCACAGTTTTATTGCAAGAGGTCGCAATAACATGCAGAGGAAAGGATTCTTCCTTCGTTGAAGGGAATAAATCTTTGAGTGGATCTGTTTATTGGAATGCAAACTCATCTGCTTACAAAACCTTGTCAATACAAGACAAACCTGGTTTCCATAATGATCGCATCATGGAACTGGCTTTCAGCTACCGTGCTTAGCAAATATCGAAAGAATAAACAGTGGTTATTACTGATAAGCTAAATTATGACAGAAGAAACAGTCAGTCATCTTGATTGATCAAAACAAAGCGGCTGATAAATGGAACAACGAAAGGCAATTGGAGTGCAGTGGCAAGCAAACAGATCGATGGCATTCATTGATCAGGAACATTACAGCGCGTCACGCGGTTAACTGAGTGTGGTGGCAAACGAGAACATTGAGGTTATTCTATGGCATACCACTGAAATAAGTGACTTACGAGATGCACATAGTGTTGCCAACCTTCATCAGTGCAGATAAGCGCGCGCGTGCACACACACACAGAAACCAAACTCATTTCTAAAGTAGATACACTGCATCACAAGTAGCTGAGCATTTTCAGTGGACCACGAACATTACACACGCCTTGCATAGTTCATACCACAATACAGTCGAACGAGGGTAATGATTATATATATATTTGGCAACACAAACCTCATTTAGATGCCAGGGAGTCGATTCGAGGCAAGCTAACCACGAACAATCATTGCGATGATTCTGCGGAAGTTTTTGTGGATTAGATTATCACCATCATTACCACCGTACAACGAAACACGATGAAGCTTGCTTCACCGATTGCTGCCNCACACACACACACACACACACACACACACACACACACACACACACACTCGCGAACTAGCAATCTTGTCTAGTCACAATTCCGGGGACTAGAAACAGTTTTCAATTCCTAACTGGATGGAACTAGGGCCCCGCTTTCTTGCTCTCTTTCTTTCTTCCTAATATCCTACTTCCGCAGAAAACGTATCCCAAATTAGCGGAAGGAGGATCAAGGTTGTCCGAATTAGGTCCAGCACAGGTGTAGATCAGCCCCGTCAAAACCCATCTGTACAACTTGGATCTGACTGTAACTGTAACTGTAACCTGTCCACGAATGGATAGCAGTCGTGTGTCGATTTGCTGTGATCTGGTGGTGGATCGTTGTGCATGGATGACCGTCGTCAGATATATTCCTGGACCGGGAAACCCTTCAGGCAGCAAAATATAGTCCGACAAAAACTTCGAGCTCGCTAGGGATGTTTGAATGCGTCATTTGGCCATCATCATCATCATCAACGTATAACTAAAAAGAGTGAAGTGAACTTCACTGATCGCTGTCAAACTCACAATGCATACAAGGTTAGTGGTACTATTTGAGGTGGCCAGGGATTGAACCTATTTAGAGGGAGGGGGAAGTTGAACCCCTATGGTCAACACACGGAGTACACAATCTAACTGTGCATACATACCGTTTGAAGCATTCTGACCTAATAAGAAATGACAACAAGAACGCCACTACTATCGATTCGCTGCCATATCCTTCAATGCCTCCAACCAACCAGTTGTGGTGTCTTGAGGACCCCAACCTGGACGGCGCGAGACACCTACTCTGCCTAGTGATTCTGTACATTTCTTCATGCCTCGTCTCCACGTGGTTTTCTCCATCCTCGGACGCCTATAGCGAATAAAGCGCGGTGCGACAGACGTCAGCTGGCCGAAACGGAGTACATACCTCAACAAACTCGACATCACGGGCTGAACTTTTAGGTTGCCATGAAAAGCGTGAAAAGCGGGCGATTCGGACTATAGGGTTTACTCCTTCCACTGTCCATCGATCAAAAATGATATGTATAAAAAAAGAACTGCTGAGGGTAGTATAAGATAAAACAATAGTATGATTAGTACTGCTACCACGAGGTTGTAGAACGATGATATCCGAATACCAGAAGGAAACCCTGATTAGATAATTTGCGGAATGTGCAATATCAAAACAATTTAGTCTCATTTGCAGCTCGAGGAGAGTGGATTCGAGACGAACAAGTCTCTGCACAAACGAGATTCGCATTGCATAATTCACATAGGAAGTTCAAGTATAAGAATGACCAGGCAGAAGATTACCGGATGGATACGCATATCTGACGAAGGGCAAGGACCGCAAGGCCGATCGTGTGCTTCTGGGAAATTTTATCCAATCACGCATATGCTACTCATTGTAAAAACAG